TCATCCTCGATCACAACTGTGGATGACAGGGGAGGGAAAGTTAATGAGAAGGAGGATGGGGAGTGGGAGCGTTGGGGAGAGGGGTGGGGGTCATCTTGGTGTGGCGTCTTAAAAATTCACCATCAACTTAAAGTAGTGCATGAAAAAAAAAAAAAGCCCAGCTCTACAGGAGCCAAAAGTGATGCGTGCATGCATGCGAGAGTAACCCAGAGTACACAGCAGCGCTCAAATTATAGCGCTTCTGATGCACTTCTGCACATGTGCATGTGTGTGCGTGTCTCCGCTGCAGACCCACAGGTGTAGGTTCTCCATGGCTCCCATGGTTGTGCATGAAACCGAGTGCATTTATGTGCAACTTCATTTACTTTTATGCACTGATTTAAGAATAAAGCATCGTGCACACTAAAAACGTCAAGTAGACCCGATTTATATATATAAAAAGGTAATCATATCAAGCGTAAAGCACAACTCTGTAGAGCAACATCCGAATGGCAACGCAGTGCGCATCCAACTCTTGTTGCAATGCGAATTATTTAACATTCAACGCAGCACACATGCATGCAAACAACAGATTTCTGGAAGCGGCTGAGTCGGTCTCCTAAATTGAATCTGTAGTTATGGTGCAGGTCAGCCTAAAGTGCGCATTCACCACAAGCAGGGGGGATAGAGGGAGAACATAAACGACTGAATTATATAATTACCCCGTTTGCTCCTGCCAATTTGTCCGAGTTTCGGCGGACGCTTGTTCTGTGAGCCGTTGAAGAAGTTGTTGGTGTCTTGAAGGCGACAGGTGAAGGAAAGGTGTTCCTCGTCGCCCTCATTTCCATAATGAGTCATTTTCTCCTCGTTGAAAGGCAGCACTTCCGACATCTCCAAAAATGCGTCTTAATCACCAAGGCGCGCCAGAGGAAAACGGATAATATCTATGGTTATATTTATGGCAGCCAAGCTTAAGCTCAAGCTGAAGTCCGGTGGTTCAGTAGCAAACACAGGGGAAACCAAAAAAACAACAGCACAATGGAAGAAAACACCGCGATCCGCTGGCACGACCGAGCCCTTTCTGTTTACCCGGAGGACACGTGTCTATCCGCTGGTGCGCACCAACAAAAAAAAAAGGGAAAATAAAGCAGGGAATAAAAAATATCTTCACGTTTCCCAATCGTGAAGCTTAGGCGACATTATTTAAAAATTCCAGACGCCTTTTTTTATTCCTTTATTTAGTCTTACTCCCTTCCTCTTTGTGCGTATGGATGTTGCAGTGGAAATGGAGGCGCGCGTATAGATACAAAAAAAATGAGCCGTGAAGAAGAAGAAGCGGCCGCTGAACCCGCAGCTTGGAAAATCTGAGGGAGAAATGCAAATCCAGGAGCGATGCAAAACACCGATCCCGGGGAGACCTGACGAGGGAGCTGTGAACGGGGAGGTGGGGGGGATTGTGGTGCAGCCCAGAAGAGTCCAGCTGGAGAAAACCAACAATTTACTAAAATAAATCAAACAAAAGACGATTTTAAACGCCAGCATTAACCCTGAACCAAACCAATTGGATATATTTATTTTAAATATTTGCGCTACCATTCGACGGATTTAAGACAGCAAATTGATCAGATCTTTCTCAGGATTGTTTTTTTTTTTTTCTTTTTTTTTTCTCTTGTCTTTTCTTGTTTTACGTTGATTGACTTTCAAGGATGACATTTGTTCATCAGGGGGCGAACATCACCAGAGGATGGCAGCATTTTCATAAGCTGCCAGTGTGACATTTGGCCCCTAGGTGCACTCTGAGTTTTCCCTTTTGCACATTGCATTCATTTCCTTCCGGATATATCTCCCCTCATTGTTTTTAATAAACATGTCAATAGATGTAAGTAATCCATATAATATTTTAATAAACAGATTTGATTTACCAAGTATTCAGATCCCTTGATTTTTTTAATATTTCATTTCTTTTATAAAAAACAAAATTAGTGTCTCTCATTTAAAATTGATCTCAGTTAGAATAGCATAGTAACGGTGCAAAAATATATATTTTTGACATTACTTAAAGCATATATTATTGTCTAAGAGGCAGGAACTAAAGCACTCAGCATGATTAGCATTTGAAAAAATCTTTGGACAGAATGCTATTTTACTAAAGCCTTAACATTTTAATCTTAACCCTTAATCGTACTTAAAAGTGTAACATATATAGGCATTTATATCTGTCTTTTATGGTTACATAAGCACCTTTCCTGTCACTCAGAGATGAACTTGCTGTCAGGCCTTGTGTCAGTTGTGTTTTCCTCTGTGTTTTATATTTTCTACGTTGATGTTTTAAATAGAATCTTCTTATATGTTTGGTAGGTTTTAATAAACAACCATAAACTGAATTCACTGCCAGTATTGAATGAAAGTATTCCCACTGCATGATGCTGCCACCACACACTCACCAGCCGCTTTATTGGGTAGACCCTGCTAGTACCGGGTTGGACCCTCTCTTGCCTTCAGAACTACTTCAATCCTTAATAAAACAGAATCAATAAAGTGCTGGAAACTTTCCTCAGTGAGTTTGATTTTTCTTTTTTGTTTTTAACTGCAGCAGCTCGTCCATGTATGCCTGAATGCATTGAGCTGCTGTCATGTGATTGGCCGATTAGAAAAGAGCATTAATGAACAGTTGGGCAGGCGTGCCTAATAAAGTGGCGAGTGTACAGAACTTCTGTGTGAGACAAACACTTCAAGTTTTGGTTCCACCTGACCAGAGCCCCTTTGCTGTGACCTCTTCATGGCTTATTCTATGTGATACCCAGTATCACATTTATCACATTTACTTCATCAGTACCTTTTACACTTATCACTTTGCCTAAACTTTCTAGAGTGCACCACATATGTTGTCCTGTTATATTATTCTCCCATCAGAGCTTGATGATGATCTCTGCAGCTCTTCCAGAGTTATTTCCTTCTCTTATTACTACCTTCCTTTTCCAGGCATTTTAGAGAGACTGAGCAGTGCTCAGTAGAATTTACTTTACATTTTTAAATGTAAATCTGATATTCTTTTTTATTTCATTTTTTTTATATGATATATGATATAAACTGTGTTATAAAATTATGAACTGAATGAAAATTAAAAGTTTATGCATCTTATATATTTACATTGAAACTAATCAAATCAAATATAAAGCAATAAAGATATAAATTTTTGAATCCATGATATTTTTATCATTTTTTTCCCATTTGTATATATTTTTTAGTAATAGTGATAAAAATATGATTCATAATTTTTATTTATCATTAATGCTTTTACTGTTAATGTTCTGGTTGTTTTTGTTTGATTGCTGCTTTATTGAACTTATAACGATGATGGTTATTGAGAGGAAGGGTATTTATTTTATATTATTGATTATGTAAATGTAATATTAATAACATAGTTTTACTTGTGTTAGGACTACCTAAGAAGAATATAGAGAAGCCAATTAACCTAACAGTCATGTTTTTGGACTGTGGGAGGAAGCCAGAGTACCTGGAAAGAACCCACGCATGCACAGGGAGAACATGCAAACTCCATGCAGAAAGACCCCAGGCCAGGAATCAAACCCGGAACCTTCTTGCTGCAAAGGAGCAGTGCTACCCACTGCCACTGAGCAGTCCATATACATATGTATAAATATATATCTGCAACATCAGAAAAAAGGAACATGAGAAACTCGAGAAATACCAGGGGCTCAGACAAGAGCTGGAGAAAAACTGGAAGGTCAATGCATCAGTGGTACCCATTGTCATTGGGGAACGCGGGGCAGTGACTCCAAAATTAAGGAGTGGTAACAGCAGATCCCTTGAAATACATCAGACATGTCAGTCCAGAAAAGGGCAGTTCTAGGATCAGATACTGTGCAGAACCCTCAAGCTCCCTGGTCTCTGGTAGAGGACCTGAGCTTGGAGGAACAAAGTGAGACGCCCGTGGTGGGTGAGGAAGAGTTTTTTATATATATATATATATATAGAGAGAGTAAGAGTTAAAAGAAAAGTACCGAAGACACTACTTCTAAAAACAGGAAATCAATCAAATATATATTTTTTTCTGTTATTTCTGTATTTCTATGTATTACGCTCTAATTAAACCTTGCTTACAAAAACTCTTTGAAATTCATGGCCATGAAAAATCTATCTATCTATCTATCTATCTATCTATCTATCTATCTATCTATCTATCTATCTATCTATCTATCTATCT